ACCTTTTCTCTCTCCATTGGTGTTGCCAAGAGAGAAAGAGAAGCACGTCTCCAGAATACCCAAGAAGAAGAAAAAGAAGAAGAAGAGGGGCGTGGAAGTGGGAGGGGACAAAAGCCGCACAAAAAGGCGGGGATGTTGAAGGGGAGGAGAGGGAGTGGAAAATATTTTTGTGGGGTGGGGCTGGCTGACTGGATGGGGGCTGTCCGGGGGCATTCGACTGAACAAGAAGAAGAAGAGAAGGAGGAGAAGGAGTGATGTCTTTTCTCTCTCTCTCTCTCTCTCTCTCTCTCTCTCTCTCTCTCACAAATCTCTGCGTCTCTTCAATCCGCCCACTCTCTCGCCTCGTTATTTGTCTCCACCTCTTTGGATCTCTCCTTCTGCCCTCTCTCTCTCTCTTTTCTCTACCCACCCTCTCCACTTTCCCATACTCTCTAATCTTCCGATAAAGGAGGAGGAGTGGTGAGACTGGCGAGGGGCGGGGAGGAAAGGAGGCGGACACGAAGCAAGAAGAAGAGGAAGAAGACCACAACGAAAGAAACGAAAAAAGAAACGAATATATATTTATGTAGGACACGACAACGCGAAGGAAAAAGGAGATGGAGTGTTGAAGAAGACGAAGATGATGATGATGGTCGTGGTGGTGGTTGGATGGGACAAAAGGGGAGGGCTCCAAGCTTGGAATCTTCCTTTATATCGATTTTCTATATTCTAAAACCTTTTTGGATTCGATAAAACTCATAAAACTCTCAATTTTCTAGAAATCCTAAGAAATTCTGGAAGTTCTAAATTCCCATTATAAATACCGTAAACCCTCCAATACAACACCACCCAGACTGTCAACTTTGAGCTCATATATCTCAGTTCCTGTAAGAGATATGTAAAAGTGGTCAATTGATAAAGCATTGCTGATATTATGATAAACATTTCATCAGTTGACCACTTTTCTATATCTCTTGCAGGAACTGAGATAACCGAGCTCAAAATGGGCGTGGCTCAGTCGGCGCCGCTGGTTGCGTCGACACTGTACTTGCCCAATTTGAGCTGAATTATCTCGGTTTCTGTGAAAGATATCAAAAAGTGGCCAAATGATAAAATGTTGCTGATATCATGATAAACATTTTGTCAGTTGACCACTTTTCTATATCTCTTATAAGAACTGAGATATATGAGCCTAAAGTTGACCGTTGGGGTGGCGTTCTATATTTTGAATGATGGACATTTTTCAGATTTTCAATATTCTAGAACTTCTTAGAAATCCAGAACTTTTCTGGAATTTCTAGATTCCCATTTTATCATGTTTCTGGTATTCTGAAATGTGTCGAAATTTTGAATTTTCCGGAAACTCTTTGATTTTCAGAATCAAAAATTTGGACCCCAACAGTTCGAAATTTCAAATTTTGAATTTTGACGGAATAGAATGTTCTAGAAATTTGCTTTTTCTTTAAAGTATCAGAAAATTATGGGTTTTCTGGAATTCCACAATTTCCCAGAATTGTTTCGTTTCTACAGAGCCGCGGTCGGCCGCGGTCCGTGCCCCGGATAAGTTGCCGTGGAGCTAATCGTCCGAGATTTGAAACTCAGAAACTTCTAGAGCCGCTGAATCCAAGAAGTACCGTAACCCAAAAGCCACGAGACATCTTTGCATTGGATGTTCAGAATTCTAACTTTTTCTAATATTGCCATTTTTCTTTGATTATTATCAACAGTTTCAGAATTTTCGAAGGATCTAAAAACGGAAAATTCTAGACTTTCCATTAACATTTTCTAGAAATCCAGAACTTTCTGGAATGTAGATTTTCAGCATTTTCAGCGTCTTCTGATGACGTTTTGGCCAGGTATCTGGTGTACAGACGTTTCGGAACCACGACGTTTCAGAACTACGACGTTTCAGAACCAGACGTTTCGGAATCACGACGTTTTAGAACTACGACGTTTCAGAACTACGACGTTTCAGAATCCGACGTTTCCGAACCCGACGTTTCGGAACCACGACGTTTCAGAACTACGACGTTTCAGAACCAGACGTTTCGGAATCACGACTTTTCAGAACTACGACGTTTCAGAACCCGACGTTTCAGAGCCCGAAGTTTCAGAACCCGACGTTTCGGAACCACGACGTTTCAGAACCCGACGTTGCAGAACCAGACGTTTCAGAACCCGACGTTTCGGAACCACGACGTTTCAGAACTACGACGTTTCAGAACTACGACGTTTCAGAACCAGATGTTTCAGAACCCGACGTTTCGGAACCACGACGTTTCAGAACTACGACGTTTCAGAACTACGACGTTTCAGAACCAGACGTTTCAGAACCCGACGTTTCGGAACCACGACGTTTCAGAACCAGACGTTTCAGAACTTTTCCGCATTTTTGCATAGTGGCTTTTGTACATAAAATGAGTATTGCTCATTTCAATTTTTTGTTTTTCTACTTTTTTAAAATTCGTTCTCATCTAGCATACGTTCAGCAATGACACCGTTTTTGAAAATATCAACTTTTTTTCGATTTTTTGAGAG